TGTAAGTGCCAATACATAATTTCTCAAAATGACGATAAAAATTCAAATAGTATTTACAACATCCATTATTTCTCTTAACACATTTCCCAAAATTGAAAATAAATAAATATATCAATTCAATTCATCATTTTTCGAACTGCCTGTAAGTGCCAATATAAATTTTCTCAAAATGACGATAAAAATTTGCATAACATATACCTGTTTTCTAAATGTGACAAAGAAACAAATAAATATATCAATATTATTCATCGTTTTTCGAGCAGCCTATATGTGCCAATACTAGTTTTCTGGAAATGACGATAAAAATTTAAATAACATTTACAACATACCTTAACCCGTTTCCTAACATTGAAAATAAATAAATAAATACATATATCAATTTTATAAATCCATTTTCAAACAACATATAAGTGCCAATACAAATTTTCTACAAATGACGATAAAAATTCATACTGTATTTGTAACATGCATTACTTCTTTAAACCAATTCCCTAACATTGATATATACATATTTTATTCATTATTTTCCGAACAGCCTATAAGTGCCAATACAAATTTTAGTATTTTTCATCTCAACACCGTTGGTGATATGACTTTCTCTTGAAGAGGTACTAAAACTCATCTAGCGGATCGATCCATCAATAACAGAACACCGGGTGTTAAAGAACTGACTCACTCCTTATTATTTTCACTCGGCGCTCTTTGTTCAAGCTGGAGCTAAATAATTAGTTTCTGGAGCTGTGTCGCACCACCGAAAAGAATGGGAGAAAATTCTCCGTTCAATCGATGGGGGCCTAATTTGTCAAGCGAGGGGTCCATGGGAAAAGAATGCGAGTCGCGAATTATTACTTAAGAACCTTGTCCAGGGAGGGTGGAGCAAATATCTTTAAATACCCGAAATTAATCAATTTTCGGTGAGGATATTGCTTTCTCCAGCTTACCCCCCACCCCCACCATAGCACTGAGTATTTTGGTGCAGAACCCAAAAACCACACCTTTCCTCACTCGGGAAAATGATCAACTAGATTTAAAGCAAAGTGGTGTAATTGTTTAGTTGGTTAAATGATAGATTTCTAATGGGTCTTATATTTAAATATTGATAATTTTCGGGGCAGGTGAAAAAAAAAGGCTTAACTGCTACTAACACTTGGTTGTTAGAGTTTGGTTTAGTATTTTTTTGAAATTACTCAAAGTCTCCATGGTAGTGAACAAGATTTAGGTGTTGGATGATATTTAAATAAATACCGGTGGCAATCATTGTAATTTCAAACGATAAGAATTTTTTTCATTATATTTAGACTCAGTAATTGAATACAAATATTTTTGTTATTTGCACTAATGTGGTGCAATTGCTTAGATGGTTAAAGGACAGTTTTCTAATGAACATTAAATGTTAATATTAAGTTTTTGGCGCAAGAGCCAAAGAACGCTAAGCCATACCTACTGCTTGGTTTATGCTGAATCTGCTATTTTTTGAATTATAATTAATATTAGTTTTTAAAATAGTAAACAAGATTTCGGAGTAGAATGGTATTTAAGTAAATATGTGAGACGAGTAATTTAATTTCGGACAATAATTAACTTTTTTATTTAGATCAAATGACTTAGTAAATAAATGCCAATATTATTGTTATTCATATCAATGATTCGAATCAAGCTCATATAATCGAAATTAAGTTTAAGAAGTACAATACTGTTCATCATTTTCAAAACGGACTGAATGAATCAAGTTTATTATTCGAATCCACAAAACCGGAGCTAAATGCGCCTGTGCTTCCAAAAGCCTAAGCATTTTCAGAAAATCAATTGGAGAATGAACCATTTTGAATATTACGCTGAACTCATTATTGTTATATGAACAATATAGGCTCTCGGAACCATAGAATCTTTCTCTGAACCATATATTAGCTGCAAATTTTCTGAGTTTAACAAGGATTCCGATCTAATTCACTCCGTTTTATAAAAGATGAATAGTGTTTTACATCTTAAATTTGATTTCGGAAATGTAAGCTAGATTCTTATGCATGATTCAAATCAAGCTTATGATTGTTAACCTCAGATTCATATGTATGATTCGAATCCAGCTTATGATTGATAAACTCAGAGAATTTGCAGCTAATATATGGTACAGAGAAAGATTCTATGGTTCCGAAAGCCTATATTCCTCATATAACAAATGAGTTCAGCGTAATGCTCAATATGGTTTATTCTTCAAATGATTTTCTGAAAATGTTTAGGTTTTTGGAAGCACAAACGCATATAGCTCCGGTTATGTAGTTTTAGCGAAAAGAATTTTAATAATATTACCTGTAATTACCAGGTCCGATTCTCCATAGAGAAGTACAAATCAACATTTGAATTTACAATGACTTTATATTATAACATGCTACAACTACCAATTATTTTAGAATTCACATTCAGGTGTAAAGCTTACTTGAGTTAGTTTGTCGTAATGATCATGGTAATAAGTTATATAGATTGATTTGAGATACATTCTGTTTTTTATTAGCAGTATAAAAAAATCAAAACTAAAATAAGGTAAGCCAAACAAGCCAACCATGTCTGCTTTCATATATGTAATTTTTTTCTTTAAATTGTTTTAATTATTTTGAAGAAAACAAATAGCCTATTTTAAAAGATGCCACTTAGTTTCTGATACTTTAGAATTATAGAGATTTTCCTCTTATAAAATGTCAAAAAATATGCATAAAAATAAACAAATACTCTGTAAATCAAATGGTTCTTCTAAGTTAAGAAACAATTTAATGCTTGATTATTCTGTAATTGTTTTTTTTAAATTAGATAATTAAAAAAAAACATTTTGCAAAAAAAACTATTTTCGAAAAAATAAATGGTAAATTTGACTTGATTTATGAGCATGCAATTAAACAATTGCAAAATTATTGTTACTCATTAATTAAGAAAAATTGTTATACGTCGATTACGAAACATTGTTACACTTCAATTACGAAACATTGTTAAATATCAATTACTGTTTATGGACAAATTAAAAGTAATTTTTCAAAGTGAATATTACGCAGTGCTGCAGCGCATCTAGGCTACAAACACTTTTTTTTTAAACTTCAAGCATTTTATGATTAAATTTCAAAATTGGTAATAAAATACGCAACAATCTAACAGCTCGAACAAAAATAATGCTATCCATTTAAATTTCCACTCCAACATAAAAAAAAGCAATTAAACTATTTACTTTTGGTGATTTATATTTTTTTAATAAATATCAATGGGCATTGCTTACATTTCAAACAAACACATATATTAACTCAAAAAGACCCCACATTAAATTATTTGAAATAAAATAAATTAAAAACACATCCCATTAACTTATCCATTTATTCAGAATGTAATTAGAGAGCGATAATTGAAACCCACACCAGTTAATTTAAATTTTCTATTTATGGCTCTTGATTTTCAATTTTAAAGGCATCTTTGATGCCATGGAAAAGCGATGCGTCACTTTTCCACAAATCGAAAAGCAGATTCCCTCCGCACTTCAGATTCAAGGATATAATTAACTTTCACAAAATAGCCCAGCAACTATGCCTGACAATTGAATAGGCACTCCACAAGATGTGCTTCATTAAATTTATTGCTTTCTTCCAGACTTCAAAGTCTGCAGTAAACAAGGAACAAAGATGTCGATTACCAGGCAACGGACATTTCTTTCTAATTTCCACCTGTCAAACAACCCCTGTACTTTGTCACTTGCAGAGTAGAACTTCGGAAGGAAAAAAAAATAATTTAATGCAAAAGGATGTGTAATTAAATAAAAATAAAAGGCTATAAGAATTTTCAAGTCTCCTGACAGGTTTTGTTGTTAGTGTCGCCGTTAGAACCAATAAAAAGTAAATAGAATGCGAAAATAGTGTTTTTATGATGGTATGTAATTATTCTAGAAGCATTTTATTAGTTAAGTCATGAATTAAATGCCATAAATTCGCATTTATTTATGTTCAAAAACAAATTGTCAAATGAAAGCTGAAGATTTAAAAATATTATCGTAGCAAAACAGAACCAATTTAAGTAGGTATATCATATGGTTTATTACTCAAAATCTTGAGAGAGCGGAGTCTCGTTTCTCCAAAATCACCAGCTAGTTTTACTGTTAAGTTTTTTAAGCAAAAAAATTGATTCCAAGTACTGTGCGATCAGAATCTTGCGTAAAAGCCGAAAATTTATATATGAATGCTAATGAAATAACCGTTTAACGAATACTTAGATAAATTAGTCGGTATCTAGCAAATTTGAGAAGAAATAAAACAGAGTTTCTTTTTCAGATAGAATGTTGTGTAAAAGCACAAAAATGTTAAACGCAAGAGAAACTTAATAAAATTTTGGTATGTGAGGCAGAATCTACTTAAACTTTCGTGGTAAACGGAATCACATTCGGAAAAAATCTCCTGTAAGGCCAAACATTGTCACAAATGTAAAAGCAATGAAAACTCATCCTTAAAATAATAGAAAACTGATTTTGCATCTGTTTAAATTCTAGAATAAAAGTAATCTTTTTTTTACCATAATATAGTAACTTAATTTTTCCGAAATTAATGTAATTATGCAGATTTAAGAACCAAAAATTCATAAAATTGTTATCATAATAAGTGTTTACCAATGACATTTACCAATCAAGAGGAAAATCATTAAGTATCTAATAAAAATCTGGAATAAGCAAAACCTTTGATAGTTGCTCTAATGCAGGTGTTTTACTAAAAATAAATCCATGAAAATTTTTTGAATCGGTTTGTTAAAAATAAATAATAAAAGGTCATTGAAGTTAAATTTTTACAAAGAAAGTAAATAAAAGAAATTTAATTTCAAAATAAAAAAGTTTCAGAATATTTCAAATAAAAAATGATTCCGGATACCCTAGGAGGTTTAAGGAAGGATTCAGAAAAAAGGCACTTAATTAACTTTTTTTTTGTTATACAATGCTAAGAATAATTGCTTTAAGTTCATTAACATCTTAAAGATTTACTTACCCTGTATTGTCAATAAGTGTCAAATTATTACCGCCAGAGCCATCTTTAGCAACCAAGTTTCTTACAAATATCCCATATGTATCTATCAGATTAAATAAATTATTTTGAGTTATTATAAAAAAGGCAACTATAAAAATTGAATACATCAAATAAAATGAACATCAAACAAAAGGAAAAATAATTGGTATATTATATAAACACGATGTTAAAACAAAAATATTAATTTTTGGGTAGCAATTACTTCAATTTTAAATTAAAAATTGTATCAGTATCGTACAATCACAGTAATAATTAGAGTATCAATGTTTCAAATTTTTAAGTTTAGTTTCTACAATTTTATAATACCCATATATTTATAATTATAATTATATAATATATATATATGGGTATTATATTGGTGTATTATATGGGTATTATAATTATATAAGACCCATAAAATACACCAGTATACAATTCCCATTCAAGAAATTTCATTACACTCTAATTGCCAATTAAAGCAATTATAAAGTTTGAAACAATAATAATTTCTATGTCAACATATAACTCCAGAAATATTTTACATCATAAAAGTTGCATTATCAGACATTTAATTTATTATATTTACCTTTTACTTTTAGAACATTTACTGCTGAGAAGTCTTATAATAATGTTTGAATGCTTGATCGAACAATTAAACTTTTCTGTTTAAGATAATAAATTTAAATATAAATTTTTCGAGTTTATAACCTGTTTATCGGTTTCATTAAATGCAAGTTTATTGAAGATTAAAGTTCTGTAGCATAAAATATTACAAGTAATTATCAAGCAGATTAAAGCCTTCAAGCTACTAATATATTATGGCAGACAGTTTAACCCTTAAAGGTTCGGAAATATTTCATGTATAATTTTCACCAGGTATAATTATAATGATTACTTAGAATAGCAATTATAATTGTATAAATAATTACAAATAAATTAAGAACAAATATAACTGTAAGAAATGCTATAAAAAAAACGAAATGATTTTAATCATCGTGTGCACGGTATTGGACTTATTCAGTAAAAGTGTCATGCCGCTTATATGGCGGCATTGGTCCGCCTCTTCGATTTCAACTGATGCAAACACGTTTTTTCAATACTACGAATTTAATCATCAAGTTTTAATGTACTTATGCAAGCCTTAAACTACACTCTTACTCACTAAAACCGATAACCGTTAAAAGTCTGCAGGGTACATAGTCTTAAACTTTGATCCTTAACTTTTAAAACAAGACGAGATCTTTCGTAGAAAAACTTCCATGTATCAGTTTCAGCAAATAATAGTAAATAATTAATCTATCAATGTATCTTAAGCATTAACTTAATCATTTTTTACTTTATTTTCAACAACTTTATCTATTTTCAACAATAGTAATGCAACTCCCATTTCAAAAAATAATTACACTCGAATTGTCAATTAAAGATCTGTGTAAAGTTTTAGAAGCAATCATGTCAAGATAGAATTCCAAAAAAAGCATTTGACGTAATAAAAATTGCTAGACCAATTATTTTATTGATCATGTTTACATTTTACTTTTAGAGCATCTACAGCTTAGAATAATCCTAAGTTCTAGCTTGGAATACTCGCATTTCCATGTTTAAGATAATAAATTTAAATATGAAGGTTTCGAATTTATGATCCGTTTATCGGTTTTATTAAATACAAACTTTATTGAAGATTAAAATTCCATCCCGAAAATTATTACAAGCAATTATGTACCAGACTGAAGCATATAATCTAGTAACGCATTCTGGAAGCAGATAGTTTAAATTTCCTCTTCAGTTTCAACTGAAGCAAACGCGCGCTGCTTCAAAACTTCGAAATTTATCATCCAGTTTTAATGTATCCATGCAAGCCTTAAACCACACTCTTACTCATCAAAACCGATAACCGTGATCAAAATCTATTGGGTGTATAGTCTTAAACTCCGATCCATAGCCCTTAAAACAAGACGAGACCTTCCATGGAGGCCATCAACTTTGTATCATCCAAAAGCCTAACAACTATCCTTCCCTGTCCTGGGATCACATATTGTTGGATGGGAATGGCGCAAAGGGAAATAAAGGTAATTTATTTGAGGCCTAGGCGTTTTAGGGATTATAATCAGACGCAATTAACCGACTTCATGTTTAAGTCGTTAATCTTGTTCAACGGAATGGCGCTCTTTGGTAAACCGATCAAACAGGCATGAAGGGACACAAGGTGAAATTATCTTACGTGGCACCACGTTCCCACGTAATGACACATGTAATGTCACCACTGGGGTAATTATCTTAATCACCCTTTCGTGATTTTTGAGAGTTTAACTATGACTCACTTTTAAAAGTGCCCCCAAATCCGTTTTACTACTATAAGGAGAGTGTTGCATTTTGAATTGGAGCTAGGGAGTTGCCCTTGGAGGTAGTTAGATGAGGTTTAGATAACTTTTGTTAAATAGCATGTGGCTCTCTTGGAAAAGTATATTTTTATAAAAGTGTCTACTTCGGTTAATGAGTCTCATTGAAAATGCCATATAGGATGTCTGGGATAAGTTAATAAATAGTTAGTTTGGAAATAATCAGAACAGTATTAGTAAAAGAAATGGATTGGAACAATTTGGTCTTGATTTAATCAAAGACCGAGATTAAGTTATTAAATTAAATTTTTCTTATTTCTATAATATTTATTTTTAGTATTCTATTAATGATTCCTTCTCTTCTATCTATTAATAATTCTTATATATTGCTAATATATTGCATAATTTATAAGTTCAAGAAGATAACTCCGCGCTTCATTTTATGTATGTAAATGTGTCTCCAATGTTTTAAATGTTTTTGTATCTGAGAACTTTTGTTTTTTGAAAATAATGTATTGAAAATAATTATTACATTTCAAATTGTAAAGAATGCCACTTATAATATTTCTAGATACTTAGTTATTAAAACTTCAATGACAGAGTAACTTCAATGATCTTTTTTATGTACCTTCTACCTTCAATATTTTTTATAATTTAGACTTGTGTTTTTAAAAATGGTGCTCTGAAAATAATTACTAATTTCCGAATTGCATTAATTATAACATTTATGAAAAATATTGCAATACAGTGTCATACCCTCCAACTGCTACGGAATTTCCGTAGTTTCAGAAATCTTCTTTTCAGACTGTAGCAAAATTAATGTCTTAATATTTAAAAAAAATTAATTTTAGCGTAACTTGCTCACTATTACTTATAAAAGTGCAGGCCATATGGCTAGATTCTTAAGTTCTGATAAAAGTTTTATGAGAGATCCATTTGCTTTAAAAATTTCTACTTTGGTTCGCTACCACTAAAAAGAATTATTTTCAAAATCCTCATAAGTTGGAGGGTATGCAGTGTGACGCAAAAATAATAGTAAAAGTAGTAATTAAGGTAATTCCAGAATCTCTGTTTTTAGAAATGGTGCTCAGAAAACAATTACTAATTTTCGAATATCATTGTTCATAACATTTATGGAAAATAATGCAATACAATGTGATGCAAAAATAGTGATTAAATTACATTGAGTCTAAAATTGATTTTAAATAAAAGATGTTGTGTAATTTTGCAATACAAACCATAAATAAATTATTTTAATAAAAAATTTTGTATTACAGTTTATTAAAAATGAGTTTAATTTGAACTGGAAATGTGTTCTATTTTTATGCAACCTACTGACTGTATCATTGCTAGATTTAAGTTTTAAAATTGAGATTAGAATTATTAGTCTATGAAGAAGGAAGAATTAGGATATTTATCTTGAATATGCTGAATAATTGATGATGATAGGGAAGCCGTCTATAATCTTTTCAATAATTTTCTAGGGTAGAAAATTATTGAAAAGATTTGATAATCATTGAAGAAAATAATCATTATCCAACTGTCTATATTAAATTCTCACAATGATGAAGATAAAAAAATAAATATTAAAAAAACGCTAACTATTATAATGACGAATCATATTGAATAAATAACAATTTTGCTAGTTTGGAGCTTCATTAGAATAAAAATTATATATTTATTTTAATACTCTACATGATACATCTGACTTTTAAGAAATGAAAAATGCTTGATATGAAGAGGTAGAATAGTTTTTTCAAACGAAATCAAGTATTCCATGAATTGGTTATTAGAATTATTGTCAAGGCTTCTTTTCTTAGCCTAACGTATTGAAATGTATGGTAAATAATATCTATTAATTAAAAAAAAGAAAACATTTTAGCAACCATGAAGCAGCATTGAACTCTATAATATAAATACGAAAGCAAAGATTAAAAGGATCGCTAAAAATCAATTAATTTTGTTAGCATGTCAGGGCTGTGGAATAAAAAGATTATCAATTATAATTAAGATTTATTTTAATTGAGGAAATGGTTAATGGAAATAATAATTTAGTTTTTAAATTATAGAAAATATATTATGTTTATTTATTCATGACAAAAATATTTACGCCAATTCTTTAGACACTAGAATTAATATGTATTGCAACAGTATTAAGTCACTCATTTAATTAATATAAACGGGTTTTTAGAAGAAACTTAATACTAACAAGATGTAATTAAAAATTATTTTTCCTTTAAAGCATATATAGTATGTGATAGAACATATAACAAAAAACATATAACATAAGTACGTGGTTTTATTAATTACTATAGAAAAAGTAGTACAAATATAAAAATCATATTTTTCTTCCAATCTGTCATTTCATAAGACTTTTAAAATAAAATTGATGCAATGCTTAAATTTATTGTACATAAGTGCGAATAGAAGACAATTAATTGTTCAATTATTTTTCAAAAAAAATGAATAAAATCGAGACTCTGTTTTTTAGCACATGGTTAAACATGCTTATGATACCAAAAAGGCAATCAGTATTTCGAAACTTGTGTATTCGGGTTTGATACTTTGTATTATTACTACAGAGATAATCAAATTTTCTCTCGATAAAACTTTGATGGTACATTTTTATGAATTTTAATATACCATAAATTTAAAAAAATTATGATATATGATATAATAATTCATGATATATGATTTTGATATATTATGATATATGATTTAATTTATGATATAATATGATATAAATGATACATGATTTAATTTATGATATAATTTATGATATAATTTATGATATACGATTTTGATATATTATGATATATGATTTAATTTATGATATAATATGATATAATTTATGATATAATTAATATATCATAAATCAAATCTTCAACTTTTATTTTATAAATTTCAAAAAAAAAAGAAAAACTCTTAGTTCATGCATTTAAACAAAAACTCATACTTCACGGCATTCAAACAAAAGTTTACCTTCATCTGACATTCTGACTTGAACCCTCAGAAGCTCTCCCAGCGAGACAGCTTCCCTTTCTTCTCCTTTCATGTCAACAATGTGAAGTGAAAGATCTGGCAGGGAGGGCGAACCTCGACTCTTCTCATGAGATATAGGTGCCCTGAAGGAAAAAAAAAGTTAAATTCACTACATTTTGTGATACTTGATCTCTTAAGCTGAGTCATGATTTACGTAATCCTCTTTATTATTAAATAAAAAATTTTGTGAATTAAGTGCATATGACAGTATATAATTGGACATACTATAGTTTCAGTTCTATAAACAAGAACGCACTGAGAGTTTTTGCTTACAGAACTGAAACTATAGTATGTTCATTTATGTACTTTTATTTGTGTTTTATTAACTTTGTTTTATGCTGTAGTCTATCGTAGCACAAAGTATTATATATCCCTTGTTGACCTTGTTATTATTATTTATAAGCTGGCCAGCTTCCTCCTAAAACTAAAAAACTGGTAGTAAAATTTCTGAGTGGATATCAGAAAATTCACTGTTTTACTTTTCCATAAAGGAAAAAATTTCTGTTAAAGAATCTCTGTGAGGGATTTCTGTTCTCAGAATATTAAATAAGAAAAGTAAATTAGAGGAACGTTAATAAGAAAAGTAAAAAAGAAAAACGTTAATAAGAAAAGTAAATATTAAATAAGAAGAGTAAAAGTAAACAGTTTTACTTTTCCAATTATTTAAGGAAAAAAATTGTGTTAAAGAATCTCTGTGAGAGATTTCTGTTCTCAGAATATTAAATAAGAAAAGTATAACCGGAAGTGTTTTTCCAAATATCCATTTAGAAATTGAAATAAAAGTTTTTTCGCTTCAAGAGTACGTTGGTCAGCTTATTATTTAGCATTTTTAAATCCAGTGTAAATGCGCAATGGGATTCTGAGTTATGAAGGATTCAATCATTAATTGCAAAATTAATAAATCCTTATCATCTATAAGTAGAAATTTTTAATTATGAGCCATGAACTCATTTGTATCCATTTGCTTCACATAGTCAATCTTAGTATCGGCTTGACATAATCAATCAGCAAGCATTACACAATATACATTACAATTGAATATATCCACAATTGCATAATATATACTCTCGAATCATCTTATAGGGTCTAATCATGTGTATGAATTAGTACATATGATGATTCCTCAAATTATATATTTATCTATAAACATAATACTAATCAAATTAGTAGAAAACTGTTTTTTTTTTGTTCCGCTTTTTATTAAAGTAGAAGATCGGCATAAATATAAAAACCTTATTCTTACTACTAAATATTTTCTACTTAATGTTTCATTTTTAAACATAAGGTTAAGTTATTTCATGATTGAAAACTTCATTCGCTTCAAAATATAAAAAGGGGAAATGGCAGTCGAGATATTTGAAAAGTGCTCAAAAACAGGCGCTCATTTTCAAGATTTGCCAGACGTGAATGAGAAGAAACAAAAATGATTTGAAATATAAAATTCAAAGTTACCAACGAAAAAAGGAAACATAAATGTTAGAAACAAAACTAGAAAAACCACAGTAGTAGTAGTAGTAGTAGTAATTCATTTACGTCGTATTAGAGCTGTACAATGGGCTATTGGCGACGGTCTGGGAAACATCCCTGAGGATGATCCAAAGACATGCCATCACAATTTTCATCCTCTGCAGAGGGGATGGCTCCCCTGCTTTGGCAGCCTGACGACCTGCACGCGAAGTCGAGCACTTTACGGTAGAACAGTTTAACGAGGACCCATACCGCACACCCTCGGTCCCTATGCAGACTGATCCAAGTGGTCACCCACCCGCACACTAACCGCAGACAGTGATGCTTGACTTCGGTGATCTGAAGGGAACCGTGACATAGTGATCAGTCCACTGCGGGACCAAACCACAGTAGCTGAGAGAGAAAAACAGAGCAAGAAAAACCATACAGGCCGAGATGGGCAAATTATGGTAAAATGCATTTCTACGTTCTCTGGAGAGATTGTGAGGAATGTTATTAGCAATTTGTATATTTTTGAAGCGAGTGAAGCTTCTAATCATGTAATATCTTACCAGTTCAGTTTCTTGGGATTTATTTAATTACGTAAGGTTGTTTCTCAGTTAATAAAAAAAAATTTATTTATATATTTATTTATGATATCACAGGAAAGCTTGAAGCAATCAATGAGAGTTATTTAATCAATAATTCAGTTTTATGGTAAAAAATTGAACTGCCCATTGCTAACTTGTATCGCCAGCTACTGAATTAATAATTTGAAATCTATGTATTGGTGAATAACCGTGAGATAAATGTTTTTTTTTAAAACTTCTTAACGTTCAAGTTCTTTTTGTTTTGAAAAATCACTAAAAATATTATTATACTTTATTAACTTTGATTCAAAGATGGTCTGTGTCTTACGCAATGCACGGAAATTACTTAGCAAATGATTTGCAGAATAAGGGAAATGCGCATTTTTGTTACCATTTGAAATGAGCAAAATAAAGAGTATATGTATCATATAAATAAATTGCGTATCAAAAATATTTATTTCCTATGGAATATCTATTATTTTTTTATAAGAATTTCATTCCATAGAGCCTATGAAACAGCTACTCAGGAATGGAAGTTTATAATTTATATACAACATAACAATCTAGTTAAGATAATTTCATGAATGAAAATTCATTTTCTGGGGAAAAACTTATGAAAGAACCTTTCATGCGTGGAAGTTCATATTGTAAAAAAACAACCAATATTTCATGGAGGGAAGTTTATGTTATCTAAACAACTCATGAAAAAATATTTGATTAATGACAGTTTAAAACAAAACAGTTTATGGAAGACTCTTTCGTGTATAGAACTTATAGAAAACACTATGAAAGATAACTGCATGCATAGATGTTCATTATGCATGGAAAAACCTTTAGGTGATAATTTTATGGCTGGAAGTTTATTTGATTTAGTAAAGCCGGAGAAATATTTCGTTGCCAAATGGGTTTGATAATTTGGAAATACTTATGTTTAAGCGAATAATTAGAGGAGAAGGTTTTGTTATTGCTTGAAATGTTAGTATTTCTATTATGTTTTATTTTTATTTCATAATCCATATGCCGTTTCGTTTGATTTTACTACTTTATTAACATTCCTTTTTATGCGTAATGATAGTTTTTGTTATCAACAACCAAAAGTACTGATCATTCAGCATATATGGCAGTACTTTTACCTTCGTTACTTGTACCGCCGGTACAAGTCAAAAGTACGTATTTTTACTTGTACTTCGTTACTTTTTAACTTTAGTACTTTTACTTGTACTTTCGTTACTTTTTTAGGGAAAAAGTACAAGTATTTGTAACGGAAATATCGAATGAAATCGTTACTTTTTTCTAAAACTCGGTAAGCTATCTAAGAAAAAAAAGAAGAAGAAAAATTAAATTTAAAAAAAATGCTTATGTTTTTTAATTTATAAAATTAATGTTCAATATATATGCCTTTACAGCTAACTTCGTGTTTAAATACCTTCTGTTTCAACTTATACTGCACATTCAATTATTTTTTACTTGCTCAAAGATCACACTTTGTTTATGTTTGTGCTTTTAAAACGCGTTTCTAAAGAGTAAAACAATTTTAAATCAATGGTAATTTAAATAAATAAAAATAATAAACTAAAAATTAAAATCAATAGATAAAATTTCTTTTTCGTGCAAATCCATAAAAAGTTTGATATTAAAATTATATTTGATTTTAAAATTATATTATACGATTATATTATAAAATTATATTATAATATTCTTCCGAATTTAAAAATAAATTAATGTCCATAACTTTCAAAATTAAAAATAATTAAATAAATAACAACAATTTTGCAAAAACATTAAAGAACATAAGAATATTATTCAATAAAATTTTAGGTTACTTTGAATTTTCGATTTCCTAGAAATGTACTTTTAAATCGTTACTTTTTTTGTTTAGTACTTGTACTTTTACTTTTACTTTTTACTCGTTACTTTTTTTAAAAATACTTGTACTTTTACTCGTTACTTTTTTAAAGTAACGTTGCCATATATGTCATTCAGTGAATTCAAATATGTATTAGCAGATTTTATATATGAATGAATAATACTGAAAGACGATATAGAAGGGGCGCTATCGAGGGGCGTTCTTGTTGAAGCAACACTTAAAGGAAACTGTTCTTTCATGTTGTGGAATTGAAGATCATTCACAATTTATAATAATAGTGTGCAATATTTTTCTACAATTCTGGGCTGTGATGAATTCTACCATAAATATTGAGAATAAAAATCTGTACTGATAATTCATCAAAAAGGAAAAAGAAATAAAACTTAAACATATTTATTTCTTTATTAGTTATAAAAGGATTAATGATTCATGTCCAGCATATAACTAATTATAATCAATATGGAAATAAATTTAAAAGCAAGAACAATATAAAGAAGTTAAAACTATTAAATTAAGTCATAGTTTACTTAAAGTGCCAAGAAAAAGTGTACATACTTTGTCTTCGGCAACTATTCTATATAAAGGACATACCTTTAAATATTTTACGGAATTCAAATAAGTTTATCTAAAATAAATAATCAAATTGATTAAAAAGAATTTCATAAATTAAAATTACACTAATAAAATAAAACCAATAAAATAAAACTATAAACTCAACTATGCTATTAAGCTTATTACCTCAACGGGGGGCATATTTAGTTCAAAAATGTTGTCATTTTTTGCGCCTAGAATGAAAATGCGTCTTATTTTTCATACTCTTGCATTATAGTAGAAAATTTCATATATTTTCTCTGTGCTTTTATCTCATAATTTTGTTCTAACATTGTTTATAAACTACTTTTCCCAGTTATGAAGAGAAACGAAATGATTACTAACTTTATGATTTACTAAATTACATTTCTTTGGAGTTGTGATATAAATCTAAGTACCATACGTTAAATTGTAAATGAACCCAGTTCCTTAACTTTCACAGTCATATAAACTAATTGAAAAATATAAGAATTTTGTTAAGGTTCCCCGATATAGTTATTACTCTAATACTTTGTTTAATTTAATACATAAACTAGAATTTTAAAAACTACAGACACTTCCAATGGTTAAAGAAAAAAAAACATAATAC